GTAGCCGGCGATGAACAAAAAGAAGCGGAAATTATCTCCGGATAATGAGGCGGTCGGGTATCTATCAAATTTATTTAAATAACGAAACACCGCACAACGATACGAAAATAAATATCAGAGGTCGTTAAATGCGGCGGGGAAGAGAAAGAATTGACAAGAGCGGAATAATTTTTCCGTTCAACCTTGGTACGAATGGTCGCGTGATAAAAATGTTAATCCATAAATGTTTAAACGCTCGCCGGCGGAATTCGTCGCATGCTTAACCTCCTTCGATTATCCTCGGCGGCGATGAATGTTTCATGCGCGGTCACTTTTGCGCTTCGTGCGCGAGCCGCGCGTCGCTCGAGGCATGGCGATTCGTGGAAATTAGTTTCTCGAATTGAGAACCTTTTCTCGCATTCGACACGCGATAAATAATCGACGAAAGGTCCATAAATTTCGGCGTTGAAATACGAAAATATGAAAGAGCTATCGGAGATGAAACGATGATAGCTTAAAAGTTTGGAGATAAGCGGATGAGCTGAACTTGCAGAAGAATCATGAGTTAGAATTACGAGAACATAGTGTGATTTAAATATACATCACCGATTTTTCTATTAGAATGAATGAAACAACTGAATTATGTGACTTAAAAGTGCAGGGGTACACGCGTTTTAATAGATTCTCCGCTTTCGCAGCTGTACAGCAACGCAACGGAGGAAGACGTCGACGAGCAGATATCACGGTGAAAATATGACGACGCGTTCGCGTATTGAAACGAGCCGCAGTCACGGCAATGCCTAATCTGGAAAATCTACGAGCCGTGACATTCCATTTTCATGGTCAATTAATGCAACGCAATCGATCCACTGACTGTGACACCGTTCCGATCCTTTCACTGGCATCCCTTCCCGCCATTTTTTTCTCATTACCGACCGATAATTACTCATCTGAGTTGCTGTCGAATGTTCGCGACGATTTGGTCAGTGTTAATTGATCTGCACTTATTCAAACGTACCTGGAATCTTATCAGTCTTTCCTTTCTTCGTCTTCCCCTGATTTTATCTGATTTTTCATTTCGAAATACCCTATGGAAACTTGACATTTTACACTAAACGTTGTGTGTTTTTTATTTTTTATTGATCGAAGTGAATTTACTAATTAATTAATATGGTGACCTCGAGACTATAGTATCACAGTTTTAAATCTTGCATCAGTATTTGTCAATCGGAAAAGACGAGTGAACTCGTCATTTATATTTTATTGTATATTTCCTTTCTCAATTAATTTAATTAATGAGTCCCATTGTATCCGTTTATACAAACAACGATGTAGCTGTACGTATTAAAATATATGATCCCTTGGATGATTTTTATTTGTTTTTAATCCTAAAACCCGTGCCTGTTTATTTTGTATTTGCACCCAAGATGGAAGAAGATGATCGAAATCATGAACTTCACGATTAGAACATCTCCCAGTAAGCTAATCTTTCGTCGTTTTGAGCAAATTAGTAAACGCCAATCGTATCGGAGGGGCCCAGACACTAGAGAATGAAACTAAATTCATGAAGGAAAGCGAGATACGTATCGGCCGACTTTTATACGGCTCGGTTTTCGATTTTATTTCGCGAGCAGCCAGCCAGTTTCACGGTAATCGATTCGATCACGAAACCTGCTCGTCTTTTTGTTGTCTTTAAGCGTGATAGAACCCGGGCACCGTCGATATTAGCATAGCTACCCCCTCGAGGCTGGATTAGCGGTTGCTTAAAAACTCATTCGCGATACCAGCCATTCCCAGTGTACCCCTGCTATTCTTTCTATTAACGTTCATTCGGAAATTGTGGTCCTGTCTACCGAAGCTCGAAAGGATTATACATTTATGATTTTGAAATCGGATCTCGTTTAATTGTAACGTCAGTGGCGTTCGATTCCTCGCGGTGAAAATTACATTGTCGCTCGAATATATTCCTCGACGAACAATGAACTCGTATTTTGTACTCATAGACGTCTCGCTAGATTGATACGTCTATTATT